AAATCTTTAGAAGACAAAGAAGAGCTGGTAAGTGCTGCTTTGAACAGTAGCTGACTATGTTCAAGTACAACAAAAGAACTGGAGAGAAACAACTAAGTGTAAAGCAAAAATGGCATCTGAATGAAGAAACTCCATTCCAAATTCTCTGGCACATCAAGCAACAACAAAAAAGAAGGAAAACTGCTTCAATATGTAGCCACTGTTGGACTAACTCTTAACAGTTATTGTAGAAGCCTCCAGCACACCTAAAGACAGAACAAACACTTCAGAAGTACTTCAGGGATGAAAAGCACAGTACACAATTCCAAATCTCTCGGGTCTTTTCACTCTCAATTTTTAGGTTTATTTTGTTCTAGAAGTAGTCAGTAAATTGCAGAAAGCTATTGCTTACAAAATTACTCTTCTGTGTGAAGGTGGTGTGTTCTCACACGACCAAAGGCTTCTCACGATCAGAGCCAGGAATGAGAGACACCCAGTGGGCAACAAAACCCCATGTAATGAGCAATGAAAAGGTCAGGACATGAGGAACATACAAAAAGACTTCCTCTAACTTAAGGCAAATTTGATTAACTCTCATATCCTCCTCTGCTCCCTGGAGGAAGCCCCTCAGTCCAGCTCTGTTTGCAGAAGTCTCCTTTATCACACTGCTTTCTGCTGGGACAGACCAAGGGCTCTTGCTTTCATGATTATTAAGCACTTACCCAGCATGTGCTGACATCTGGCATTTGGAATATTTATCTAAAGTATATATGTTGGCCTCAAACCCACAGTATACAGCAATAAAATACTAGAACATCATGATTTATACAAGGAAATTTGTTTCTTCCAGCCAGAAAAAAAAAAAAAAAAAGAAGAATTTATTTAGCTTACAGGGCTCTATTTTGGGCAGCCTTGCTTTTGTTTGCATGCAGAATTTCCTTCCTCATGCAAGCATGTGAACTGAGAGAAAGAGCTATTAAAAAAATGCATTATTAAATTAAATATAAGGATCCTACCCCACCAATCAGAGCAGTGGTTTCTGGTGCCCCATGTGATCCTGCTGGAGCACATCCATGGCCCAGGCACCACTCACAGACCACCACTGTACCCACACCCCACTTGCCAGGACGCATTCAGCAAAGGCAGCGAGCCAAGGTGGGCCCAGGCCCATGGAGAGTCAGTCTCCAGAGCATGCATTGGTCTTGACCCACCAAGGAAGCAGGAGAGAGCAAGGCAGTGGGCTGGTAAACATGCACCAAGCCACGTGGGGCAGCCACGGTGCCACGCTCTGACTCAGCTGGTGGAACCTCTCTCGTGAGAGTACAGCTGGGCCTGTCTGGGTGGAGGGCCACAAACACATGCCTCACAACAGCAGCCAGATGAAGGAGAAGGGTCAGGTCCCTTGCAGACAGAACCAACCTCCTTTCCTTTCCCAGCAGGGCAGAGAGAGTAGGGAGAACCACAAGAAGAACCCCAAGAAATCAGGCCAATTTACACCTTTGTTCAGATGCCTCCAGCAGCTGGCAAGAGCAGTGAGAACTAATTATTTTTTCCTCCTTTCTTTTACCACCATCTCAAATGTTCTTCAGCTGATTTGAGTGCTAGGCAGGAGGAATACCTCAGAGCTCTCTTCAGAAGCTGAAGAGCTGCTTAGATTTTTTCTTCTTCTTCTAAAGCCTCTGTCATCTTTCACAGCAGAAAGGAACACAGCCAAGAACTAAGTCATTAACCTACTGCACTCCTAGTACCCACACACTGCTTCCAGTTAAGCTCTTTCCCAAGATCAGCCACCTAACCCAAAGGGTTCCTGTAAGGTCACCATCCTCAGTCCTACCAACCTGCATGGATCCCACCTTTGGGGACACAGCACTTTCTGTGCAGGGAACTGGTGTCCTTTGGATTGCCCCCCAGAGCCACGTGATAACTGGTAGTTAACCAGCAACTGGGGCTCCATTATGGCACCAGAGAGGAACACCACTCATCAGCCTGTTGTATAAGGAATCCAACAGCACATTGCTACCAAAGCTCTAATAGCACTAATTAACAAAAGGAGACCTAACTCAGTGGGTCTGTCTGCTAAGAAGCCAGCAGGACTGTTATTTCAGGACATTTGGAACATGGAGTCAGGTAATGTGTTGTGACCCCAGAACACTTTGGGGCTGAATCCTTTTGGTATCAAGTTTGCTAGATTTTACTTTTATTATTAATCTCCATATTTCACAAGTTAACTATCTAATAGTCTCTGTTTAGCCCATACCCTGGGCTAAACTGTAGCAGTTGCTCTATCACCCAGTGACCCCTTCTCAGCCAAGGAGGGAAACTGGGGAGAGAAGACTCACAGGGCAAAATGAAGATGGATTTGATGGAACAGCCAAACTAACACCAATGCCAGGGTGAAGCAAACAAAGCTATACTCAGCCCAGCAAACATCCAGCAGCCACAGTCAAGAAGAAGACAGTCCACAGCAGCAAGAAGAGAAGCCCAAGCAGGAGAGCCTCCATCCTCTCCAAACTTCCTCCTTTACAGTAGTGTGATGTTTATGGTCTGGGTTACACCTGCAGCCAACTGGGCTCAGCTGCCCTGGCTGACCCCAAACTGGTAAGGGCCTGCAGACCATGGCTGGCCTGGGACTCTGTCCCAGCAAAACCTGGGCAGTATGACAGACAGTTGTGTGCCTGCTATACCTGAACTCCTCATTTCATCAAAACTAGGATGTTTCTATGTAAGACACAGAAAAGGGCCCAGGTCCCAGTGATTTTATCAGCTGTTACATCAAGTCTTCATATCTAAGCAAAATCTCACCAGGAGGGGCAGGTTGGGAAGGAAGGAGTGATCACAACAACAGCTTAGCTACGTGCAGTATTTTGAAGCCTAATTTTAACATTTTCTATAGATTGTTGGGGCATGTGTGAGGTTTTTTTCTTTGTTTTGTTGATTAATTGGGTTTGATATTTTTGGTTTAAAATAATTTTGTGCTTTCAGGAATCTAGTATTTAAGAAGTTACAGTTCATCCCCCAGCCATCCCTAAGCGACTGCCATTGGCCACAGAAAGATCTGACTCTTCATTTTCCAGTTCCAAACGTGACCCAATTTAACATACATCAAAACAATGAGAGAGGAGTCTGAATTATTGACACTTCCATTTCTTTCTTCTCAGGCTGTCAGGTGTTTGAAAGACCAAAACCAACGTTGTTGTCTTACCTGGTGAGTCAAGAGCACACGTGGCCAGGAAAGTGTATTTTCATAAGAAGCACAAAGGAGGATTTTACCAATAATATATAAAAAAAAAATCTCAATGTAGATATTTAAATTTAAAAGGAACTATCAAATTTCAAGATATAGGAAAGCTTTCTATTTGTCTTCTACATTTACTGTATTAATTTAAGGATCATAAAAGAACTTGCTCTGTGAATCTGTGCCAGGCCACAGAAAAACGTAATTCAATTTCTTTATCAAGTTTTTCAAATTTAAGCTAGTTATGCAAATCAGGTGCTGAACTAGCTTTGCAGACCAGGCTTTTTTATTTTTAATTAACATCTGTGAAAACAATTAGAAAAACTATGTTTTGTTCGAAAATATGATCAGAAAGCTGCTGTTAAATAAATTACTTTTGAGGTTTCAACACATACAGCCTCTGAAGTGCTTTACTACAGAAGCTTGCAGCTAAATTTGCTCTATATTCACTTCAAATGTAGCATACTCCTTTTTGAAAAGGAATGTGAGATTATAAAAAGTTACTTATTTGAAAGACTTCAGGAAATAATTACATTAAAAATCAGAATACAGAGGTTCTCAGCAGTGTTTTCTTTAAGTCTAGAATAATTAAAAACAACAACAAAGTTTGTCACAGAGAAGGAAACCTAAACAGCCTATGATTTTTTTCCTTTAAGCCAGCCTACTATTTAAATAAATAAAACTTGATTCCCCTGAAATATGCAATGTAATTTGCATGAAGTCTGTCCACAAGCATTGGACTCTGCAAGAACACAAAGCGAATCTACAGGATCACTTTATTTTCCTGATGACTTTGAACAGGAGCTTAAAAGTTAAAGAAAAAAGAAAGAGGAGTCCATTAACACTGCAGCCAAAAGGATTATGTGCACTGCTGTACTCTGGCTGCAGTTATCACACCAGAAAGAAATTCCTTTAATGCT